TCTCATAGTTTGTGGGTTCGAGCCCCATGTAGGGTTCTGTGCTGACAGCTCAGAGCCTGGAGCTGCTTCACATTTTGTGTCTCCCTCTCTTTCTCAAAAATAAGCACTAAAAAAATTTAAAAAAAACAACAGTCTTCATTAACAAAAGGCACTTCCGGAAGGGGCGGAGTCCTCTTCTGTGCCCCGCAGCTGTGTGCAATCTGTATCCTAAACCTAGTTGCCAGGATCTGATGGGAGAAAGTGTGAAGAGGTCATTTACAAGAACATCTCCCTTGCACAGGGGTAGTAGCCTTGTGTGACTCGTGCTTAGGATAAAACCCAAACGCCCCGCCCTGCTGCAGCCCCTGCCTGGCCTGGGGGCCCGCACCCGCGGCCCCGTGTCCGTGGCTCCCGCCCTGCTTCCACTTGCTCTGCACTCCAGCTTCAGGCTCGGACTCACCTTCTCTCTCCGCACAAGGCTTTCGCACAAGCTATGCCTTCTCCCTGAAACACTCTTCCCTGCATTCTTTATCTAGTTGAATCCTCACATCCTTCAAGTTTCTGCTCAAATTTCATGTCCCCAGAAAAGCCTTCTTGGAGCCCCTATATGATACGCTCTCGTGAATTCCTGTACTTTTCCTTCACAGCATTTACATGTTTATATGTGTGTGTGGTTATTTCGGTAAACTGTTCACTCCCTTTGAGAACATAAGCTCGGAGCACCTGGGTGGTTCAGTGAGTTGAGCATCTGACTGACTCTTGATTTCAGCTTAGGTCATGATCCCAGGGTCGTGGGATTGAGCCCCACATTGGGCCCTGCACTGAGCATGGAGACTGCTTAAGATTCTCCCTCTCTCTCTCTCTCTCTCCCCCCACCCCTCATCTAGCCCCTCCCCCGCTCATGGTCTCTCTCTCTCTCTCTCTCTCTCTCGCTCTCTAAAAAAAAAAAAAAAAAAAAAGAACGTAAGCTCCGTCCATGCGGGGAACTGACCAGTAGTGTGCTCACAAATGTTTAATGAGCAGCTATATAGGGTGTTCACCTTAAAAGTCAATTATTTTGCCAGCAAAATTGGATTGCTTTGGGAATGGCATAGATTGCAATTTGGAACGTGCAAACAATGGCAGAACCATAGGCAAGTCCAGAGAACAAAGGAGAGGAGTATTATTTTATGGAGAAAAAGGAGGAAGTCGGGAGCTGTTGTTCTGAATGGAAGTCCATCGGAGAAAAGCAAGAGTGATGGTGGTTTCTCATTGGCTGAGCTTCCGAACGGTCCAGGTTTTAGGGCCTTTAGTTGATCATTCTTTCCTGTTGGGGATTCTTCCTTGGGGTCTGTAGGAATTGACAATTCTTCCTGCAATCGACATAGAGCAGTACGGCCCCCTTCCAGCCTCCCACTGGACTTCAGTAAGGTTTCCTTTTATTGATTTCCAAAGGGGTAAGGTGTGTGTGTAGGGGGGCACTGATGATAGCTTTTGATGACTGGCGTGGCCTGTCTCAAGCCACCCGTGTGATTTCAACCAAAATTCCTGAAAATTTTAACAATTCCTGCCAACTTGTATCAACCAGCTCCAGCACGCCGCAGCTGAAACCCCAGCACCCAGCACACGTTTGTTGAATGAGTGAATGAATGAATGAATGAATTTAATCCCACAGAAATAGCTTCCCCTATTTGTACCTATCCATGGCACATTCTCATCTGTCCACTGTAGATTTTTTAAAAAGGAAAACTGTGATGTTTTTATCAAGCAAAGTGTATTCAGCATAAAGGAATATTCTTTGGGTACAACCTTCCCATTTTTTCCTGGTGTTAAAACATCCTTTCTTGCACGTAATTAAAGCTCTGCAGACTGTGAGTAGTGACTCATTAGTGGTTCATGAGATCAATTTAGAAGGTCATGACAAGCATTTTTAAAATGAAATTGAGTAGAAGAGAAAAGAAATTCCAAAGTATCAGAATTTGTCTTGGGCTATTAGGAAGTATTGTTTTGGGAAACTTCCGTTGGGAGCACATGTTCATCCTGACTTGTGATGTGAAGTGACTTTTTAGAGTCAAGAAAGTTTGAAAGCCACTGGGATTGAGAGCAATACTTTAAAAAAAAAATTGGTAAACTTTATTTTTAAAGCAATTTTAGGTTTGCAGCAAAATTGGGTGAAAAGTACAGAGATTTCCCATAAAACTCCTATGCCCACAGCCCTTGCAGGCACAGCCTCCTTCCTGTTATTAACACCTCCCGCCAGGGTGGTCCATTTGTTACGATCAAACCCACAGTGACACATCATCACCCAAAGTACATAGTTAACATTACAATTCACTCTTGGTTGTGTACATTCTATGGGTTTGGTCAAATGTATGACACGCCAATCATTGTCTTATCCTACAGAGTAGTTTGACTGCCCTAAAAATCCCCTGTGTTCTGCCATTTCTTTTTATTTTTTTATTTTTTATTTAAAAAAAAATTTTTTTAACGTGTATTTATTTTTGAGACAGAGAGAGACAGAGCATGAACGGGGGAGGGGCAGAGAGAGAGGGAGACACAGAATCGGAAGCAGGCTCCAGGCTCTGAGCCATCAGCCCAGAGCCCGACGCGGGGCTCGAACCCACGGACCGCGAGATCGTGACCTGAGCTGAAGTCGGACGCCCAACCGACTGAGCCACCCAGGCGCCCCTGCCATTTCTTTTTAGTGCTGCTCGATGTTTCATTGTCTGGATGGATATACCACAGTTTACTGATCCATTCACCTGCTTAACAACATCTTAGTCTTTCCCAAGTTTGGCTAATTGCAAATAGAGCTGTGATGAACATTGGCTGCGGGTGTTTGTGTGGACCCAAGTTTTGACCTCCTTGGGTTAATCACCAAGAAGTGCTCTTCCTGGGTCACGTGGTAAGAGTAGGTTTAGATTTGTTAGAAACTGAAAAACTGTCTTCCAAAGTGGCTGGACCATTTTGCACTCCCGCCAGCAATGAGTGAGAGTTCCTGGTGCTCCACATCCTCGCCAGTATTTAGTGATGTCAGTGTTTTGGATTTTGGCCATTCTGATAGGTATGTAGTGGCATCTTGTTTGGATTTACATTTCCCTGATGACACATAATGGTACACATGTTTTTATATGCTTATTTGCCATCTGTATATTTTCTTTGCAGAAGTGTCTGTTCAGATCTTTTGCCCATTTTTTTTTATCAGAGCAGTGCTTTTAATTTACTAGTTTTGTTTTATTTTCCATGTCCTTACTTGTAAAATTTTTCAAAAACAAGAACACTATATCAATCTATCTATATCTATCGATAGATAGATAGATTGATATATATATCAATATCAGACTTCATATTTTTGTGGCACATTTTACCCGTGTCTAAAGAAAAAAAAAACCCACCAAAGTCTAAACAAAACAAAACAAAACCACCCAGCTTTCCTGAGACCCTGTCTCCCATCCCCCAGTGACCTAAAGGGTTAAGCCCACTGAGCTCTGAGAGATGATAGAGATAGATATAGATAACAGGTTGATAGATGAGAGAGAGAGAGAGAGAGAGAGGAGAGAGAGGAAGGTGTCTGGCTTGGGGGCCAGGGAACTTCCTGTTCTAGGCTACCCCCTCCCACTCTTCCCCAGTGCCCCTAGTTATAAGTGTTCATCCCAGAGTTGTGGGACCCTTTTTAGTCTAGCTGCCCCCACCTGGTGACAGCATGAGCAGGGCAGGGAGCATCATAGGGCTGACGCTTGCTGTTCCCATCCATCCTACATGCAGGGGACGGCCCTTAGCTGGCCCTTAAGAGCTAAGGTAAGGGTTGGAGGAGGGTTGGAGGTGAAGCTTGACCCAGGCCACTGGCAGTCACATGTCCTGCCAAGAAATCCCTCTAGATTGTAGCTGGCTGAACAAATGACCTTGTGAATCAGTTTTCCATCTGCTGCCCGGAGCCCTGCACTAGACACTTTTATCTGCGTGAGTTCGTTACGTCTGCACCCCTGCTGTGTGAGCTGCGCCAGCACGCGCATCCCTGATGGCGAGGAGTGATGGGGGGGGGGGTGGAGAAGCGTGGAGGTACTACGGTGAGCCTCAGTTTTCAGAGAACAAGGTCACACAGCCAGGAAGCCACCGTCACGGCTGGAATCTGAGCACTGGGGAGTCACGTACAGGTAACCGCCGTGCCAGCCCTCTCCCAGAGATTTCACGACAGCCCTAAGGTGCTAATGATAGTCCTATAGTGGCTGACCCTTAGGGGGCACCTGTATGAGCCAAGCTGCATGCACTCCGAGTGCCTCAGATAGGTTGTCTTCAGAGGACGTGTCTACTGTTACGCCCGCTTTACCGAAGAGGAAATTGAGGCACAGAGAAGGCACAATCACCTGGAAAAGAGCAGACAGGGAGTGCAGCTGAACCTTGAGCCCTCTGAGCACCTAGCCTGTGCCAGGGTGTGTGCTGGGCACTGGGGTGACAGCTGTGACCGCAGCAGCCCCACCAACATGAAAGCCTCAGGGAAAAGGAAGTAAAGCAGGTCCCCGTGACTGGGAAGGAGCTGTGGGGCAGGGGGCTGGTCCCTCAGTTGGGGTGGTCAGGGAGGGCTGCTCGGAGGAGGGGACCTGGCTGAGACCTGAGGGCTAAGAAGGAGCCGGCCTCGCAAAGTTCTTGGGGAAGGGTGTCTCAGGCAGAGGGAACAGCCAAGCACAAACAAACGTCTCGAGACGGGAACAAAAATTTGGTGTGTTTGAGGAACAGAAAAAAAGGAAGTGAGAATGAGAAGGGAGAGCAGGAGGGAAGGGTGGGAGGGTGGGGAGGGGAGGGGCAGGGAGAGGGAGAGGAAAACAAGCTTTGGACAGGGGGAGGGTTTCTGGGTGGCCCCAGCAGCCTCAGAAGGGGAGGGAGGGCTGTGGGACGTGGTCTCCAAGGTAGGGTTCACTGTCACCCTCTCCTCCTGGCTCTTGAGGAGTGCATACACCTCTCCCCCTTCCCCACTCGGGCTGTCTGCCCTGTCCTCTTCCCCTGCAGTATCTACAGTCTGACCCCAGCTCCCCCGTTGCTACAGAGCTCATGGCTTCCTTCTGAGCGGGAAGTCAGGGCTCTTGTATGTAGTTCCTGCCTGTAGGCATTCATTCATTAATTCATTTATCCACTCACCCATAAAGTGTTGATTTGTCTCGGGTCTTTTGCTTTTGCAGGTCCCTGTGCCTGGCACATTGTCTTGTATTCCTCAGGGCTCTGCTTCCCATGGTGCCTCTTCCAAGATGCCTTCCCTGACTACCCCCAGCTAATTTAGCCTGTTATACCCTGTTAGCAACTGTACTGCTCTTCATGATAAAACAGGATAGGCTGGTGCTCCCAGGGGCTCTCTCTATACGTAAGAGATCTATTAGCCCAATGGGCATTCATTTCCCTTCTCGTTTTCTTTTGGGAACCATCCTTTCCTTCTCTTTGTGCAATTTGTTGATGTCAGCCCCATTCCCCAGCTCCACAAATGAGCACATCACCCAGGGAAAGCCAATGAGAGACGGCTGCAGGACTTTTGCTGGAACTACTGGAACGCTGAGTTTTGTGCTGCCGTGGTTGCTTACCTGGTAGGCTGGCAGGCTGGCACTGCCGGGGGAGGAGAGGGCCTGCCTGAAAATGAAATCAATACCGAGGGAAGAAAAGGTGAAAGAAGGAGAGATGTACAGTCCTGAGATTGTTGGAGCACCTGGATCCAGCCATACCTGAAATCCAAACTCCCTCCCACTGGACTTTTTCACTGGAAGAATCAGTAAGTTCCCTTGGTGCTTAAGTTAGTTTGGGTTTCCGTAGCCTCCAAGATAACAAAGCCTCAAAGATATTCAGGCAGCCAAGCTTAGGTACTTTCCCCTTGAGGGATGTGGGCAGGTGTTTCCCTCGCTCAGAAGTCACGTCCCCTCTAGAGGCTCCTTTTCTACAAGGCCTGAATGTTTGGGGTTCGCTCCACCTGAGGCAAAAAAGCAGAAGCAAAGTGCGAGGCCAGAGGTGGGGTGCCTACAGAAACAGCCATGCAACCAGCATCAGGAAGTGGGGATCTGCATTATTACTGTGCTAACCCATTTCCCTGCTTCTTGGTAGGCTGAGCCCTGATTGTCTTAGCTTGTTTATTAGCTCTGTCCATGTGTTTCGGGGAGGTGTCTAAGGCAGTCATAGTTCCCCAGTTTCCCGGTCAGTGACTGGTTCTGGAAGGAGCCGTGACTCACTCCTAGACAAGAACATGTGAGGGTATGTCTGCTGGGAAGTGGTTAGGGGAGATTTCTGGAGGAAAATGGTTTTGCTCTTAAAAAGTAATGCAAGGGAAAGACGCTTCCCTTTTCTGCCTCCCACAGAAAGTACGGCGGCATGGGGCGACACCAACTGATGGTGGGATTTCGTTTTCTCGAACTCTTAGTCTAAAGCAGAATCACAACAGAGATTGTGTTTGGTTTTGCCCTCCAACCACGTGGGAGAAAAAGGGGGGGGGGGCGGTGCTAATAACACTCCCCTGGTTTAACAACAACGAAAAAACACCTCACAAATATTTAGCCTTTTCAAAATCTACATGCCCACTTAAGTATTATTCCCAGGGCAATAAGTTATTAAGTAAGACAAATGAGAATTACAGATTTTGGAAGGTTGGAGCTGCCTTTCACAAGATGTAGCAATCTCTGAAGTCTGTATGGCCTACGAAAAGTATTTGCAAGGGGAGTTTTACGTTGCCGAGGAGTGTCTGATTTCTGCAGCTGCAAAGAAAGATCATTTTTCTGCTTCTCTCTCTGCAATTTCTTTCACCAGCACTTTGAAGAGCCTATAATCCTCAAAGCCAAGAGCAGGATTTACACTAAGTCCCAAGAGCAAACCCGGAGAGGCTAAACACTTAAAATGTAGGGGGGAGACGGGCAGAGTAGGATTTTAGCAAAAGGAAGTATAAGGCTGTTGTGTTCTGCTTCTAGAGGAAACAAGGGCTGGCACTGTGGCAGCTATGTTGCCACCTTAAGGGAAGACACTGCCCACGTGCCGAGGAATCTTCGTCCGACACCGTTGAACGTGCACACCGTTCACAAGAACACCGTTCAACGGGTGGGCTGACCCCTGTACAACCTCCCTACCTTGGTGAGATTAGCTGTTTGGGAAAATAATAAAGGCCTTTAGTTTTCAAGGTATTTGGAATCTCTTGTTCCCTTACCTGCAGCCAGCAGCGGCCTACGTGATACACCCAGTGTGCGTGGTGCACACGGGACGGCATGGGGACGTCAACAGTATGGCCCGTTGGGTGCCCAGAGCACTGCCCTCACCAGACACGGTCCTGGCTGTCAGCGTGAGAGCCCCCCCATTCCCTCCCGGCCCAGTCACTGCTGGCATCATAGTGTTGATTATGCTTTCCATATTCTTCAGAGGGGAACAGTCGTTATGTTTTAAACTCTACCCACCAACCCATAAAGTTTGGTGAAGGTCACTCCCAGAACGTACGTGTCATCGACCCTGATAATTTGACAATGAAGGTAAAAAAATATCAGAGCCATGACTGCCTTTGGGGGTGGGGTGGGGATGACCCAAGCAGGTAACTTTGTGGGGTGATGGAACTGTCCTTTGTGTCAATAGGGGTTGGTATGACCCGTCTATGTGCCAGTCAAAACCCAGTAACCTGTGTTGAAGATTTGCGCATTTCATTGTATGCAAATTTCACCTCACAAAAGAACCGTGGGGAGCCTGGGTGGGGTGGCTCAGTGGGTTAAGCAGCTGACTTCAGCTCAGGTCGTGATCTGAGCCAGTTCGAGCCCCTCGTTGGGCTCTGGGCTGACAGCTCAGAGCCTGAAGCCTACTTTACATTCTGTGTCTCCCTCTCTCTGCCCCTCCCCTGCTCATGCTCTGTCTCTCTTTCTCTCCCAAAAATAAATAAACATTAAAAAAAATTTTTTTAAAGAACCGTAAGGATTGAATTCTAATTAGTGATATGGACGCTGAGATATTTAGAAGTTAAAAGTGCAGATGTCTGCTTGAAAATACTTCACTTTAACTCATTTAAAAATCCAGCAAAGAAATCATGTGGTTGAATAAATAGAGGATGGACAGATAGGTATGTGATAAAGCACATGTAGAAAATTGTTAACAAGGGGCGCCTGGGTGGCTCAGTCAGTTAAGCGTCCGATTTCGGCTCAGGTCACGATCTCGCGGTTTGTGGGTTGGAGCCCCACGTCGGGATCTGTGCTGACAGCTCGGAGCCTGGAGCCTGCTTCGGATTCTCTCTCTACCTCTCCCCCACTCGTGTTCTGTCCCTCTCTCTCTCTCAAAAATAAATAACATTAAAAAATTTTTTTTAACGTTAACAAGTGTAGAATCCAGATGATAGGTGCATGGGAGTCATGGTAAAATTCATTCACCTTCTCTGTAGGTTTGAAAATTCTCATAATTCAGTGTTGGGGGGGGGGGCAAGGAAAGCCTATGGAGAGTCAGGAAATTGAGTCCACTGCTGTGGAAGATGCTCAAATCAATGGTGGCTCGGGGCATCTGGGTGGCCCGTCCGTCAGGAGTCCCATTCTTGTTACTGGCTCAGGTCGTGATCCTGCCGTTCTGTGTCAGACTCTTGATTTCAGCTCAGGTCATGATCTCAGGGTTCCTGAGACAGAGTCCCACGGCGGCTCTCAGCTGACAAGTGCAGAGCCTGCTTGGGATTCTCTCTCGTCCTCTCGCTCTGCCCCTGCCCCACCTCAAAATAAAGAAATAAACATTTAAAAAAATAAAGTCGGCTCAAATCGGGCAGAAGCCTGGATCTTTCTTGGTGACGGTGCCCTTCTCTCCTGCTGGGGGGCCAGCCGAGGGTGTTGTCCTCAGTGGCTCACAGTCGCCAGGTCCAGGGAGGAAAGGCAGGAAGGGGAAATGGAGATCTGTCTGTGGTTGGGACTTACAAAGCTAACAGAGAAACCAAAAGGGATGACAATTATAATAACGACAATGGCCGGCATACCCCCTTACGGGAGGTGCGGCCCTCTTCCAAGGGCGTTACAGGGTTCATCCCTGTGACCCTCACGACCCTGTGAGGTAGGTACCTGCTGTTGTTCTCATTTCCGGATGTGGAAGCTGAGGCCCAGGGACGTTGAGCCGAGTCATTATGTCAGGAAGGACACGGCATGAAACGAATCCTCATCCCCCAGGGCAGGAAGTCCATGGCTTTGCGGGTGACACTGACGAATCAAAACCCAGAGGCATAAACATCTTAAGAGATGGGGAGATGGTGACGGAAGGGTGACAGGCCGCCGTGACTACTGCTTGTGTCTGGAGGGAGGAAGTGGTGGAGGGTGGGTGAGGGAGGGGGTGGCAGGCACGGAGGCCACAGCTGCTATGTCAGGAAATGAGGGCTGGGGGCGCCTGGGTGGCTCAGTGGGTTGCACATTCCAACTTGGTCTCAGGTCATGATCTCACGGCTCGTGAGTTCGAGCCCCGCGTCGGGCTCTGGGCTGATGGCTCGGAGCCTGGAGCCTGCTTCGGATTCTGTGTCTCCCTCTCTCTCTGCCCCTCCCCTGCTTGCGCTCTGTCTCTCTCTCTCTCTCTCTCTCTCTCTCAAATATAAACATTAAGTAAATAAATAAATATTTTACAAATTAAAAAAAAAAAAAGGAAATGAGGCCCGAAGGCGTGAATCTGGGAGCCGGGAAGGTTCTGCGCGTGAGCTCCCCAGTGTCTGCCCGGCTCATTCCCGTGAGCATCCACACCCACTGTTGGCATCCGGGATGCGGGTCAGCAAAATCAGCGCCGATGAGCGAGGCCGGTGGAGCCGGACAGCCTGCCTGCAGGGAAGACCCCGGCTGGACCCACCAGACGAGAAGCGGCCCACAGGGGCACAGCCACAGGGGCCTCTCCCAGCATCAGGCCAGTTCTGCAAAAACCACCATTGAAGACAGCAGCACCAGCTGCCGCCACCAACATTCGGAAGCACATTTCTAGCCAGGCGCTGCTCTAAGTGTTACAGGGCCGAGAACGGATTCCAAACTCGGGTTCGGCTGCTCGCCGCTCTAAAGCCAGTACTCGAGACACAAGTGACGGTGGGAAGGCAAGGTTGCTTTATTCAGGAAGCGGGCAACCCGGGAAGATGGTGGACTGATGTCTCAAAACCACCTGCCCTGTCCAGGGGGAGCCGGAGGGTTTTAACGTGGAAGGCACAGGAAGAGGGCAGGGGCTTGTGTGCGGGAGAAGCTGGCGGCCAGGCCATTCCTCGGAGGTCCACGCGGCCCTGAACAGACTCGGCATCAGGGACGGCTGTTTTCAAATGTGGTCATGCCTTCTCTTCTGGGGAGGTGTGGGCCTTCACTTCCCAAGGCCAGCGGTCTGCAAATCTCGAGGAAAGTTCTTAGTTCTTCTACAGAACAAGGGACTTAGGTCCGCAAGCCAGGGGCTCGTGGACTTGAAGCAGGTTATCCCTTAAGACCTGCTGGAGCACTGTTACGTAAGCACTACACATGCATTAACTCACTCGATCCTCCCGGCGACAGGGACAGGGAGGGGACCGAGAGGCACAGGGCGGATCCCGTGAAAGGCCGTGGCACCGGGGATCCCCCGTGGGAACCTGCGGCCACGAAGGGTCACTGCAGCGTAACGTTAGTCAAACATCAGCTTGCCCGAACGTGGACAGTTACGTGGCTCACTTCCAGCGCCCTCGGCTTGAATCTCAGCCGCAGGAGCCACATCGGTGCACAAGTGCAGAGCGAGCCACCGTGGAGGAGCCACCGGGCACGCGCCTGCATCGGTAAAATGGCAATAGTAGGAGCACTTTGCAGAGAGTCCACTGAGGCCGGCGAGCTCCTCGTGTGGGGAGCTCAGGGCCCCGCTGGCCCTCTCTAAGGCCAGTTAGCGTTAGCGCTGTGATTCTTGCCTTGATAGAAGGTCAGCGAAGGAAGAAGGAAGGAGGCGAAGAAGGCAGGAAAGAGACGAGAGAAGAGCACATCTTCACATTGAAGGCAAAAGAAGGCAGTGAGGAGGGAGGGGTGGGATGAGGGACAGAAGAAGAAACGTAAAGCGGGTGGAATGTTCCCGAAGGTTCCCACGAACAGCTAAGCTTTGCCCTCAGTGGGGTAGATGGGTCCCGACCACACAGCCGAGCAGGTTTTCTGAGCGGGTTAAGAATCTTCCTGGGTCCATTTCCAGCTCTGCCATGTCCCAGCTGAGGCGACGAGCAAGTGACCTTCTCTCTCTGCGCCTCAGTTTCCCCGTGCCAGCAGGTTGGGAACCCGAGGAGCCCATGTAGCCAAGCATGCTTGCTGTCTTCGTTAAGGGGCAGGCGGTGACGCCCGGATTCTGCTCATGAGATGTCATTACATTCACTCAGTTCTCAGTCGGCTGACAAATCAAAACCATATAAATAGCCACGTTGGGTTTCTCATAAATGCATTAAAAAATGACTTGGCTTGACTGTTTTGCAGAGATCTAACGGGTGTCAAGGTCACGGGCTCAGAAGGAACTGCAGCTGCCCGGTGGCACCAGGTGTCGTCCCTCTCAGCCCATGCCCTCCTTGGCACAGGCTCACGCCGCCACTCCGGGCCCTGGCAAGCCCTGCCCGGTGACTCAGGCCCGGCCGCTGCCCGTTTGCCAGGACTCAGCCCTCTGGCCCAGCCTGCATTAGGTCAGTCTGTTCACAAGCGGGTTCCGGGAAGGCTGTGCCAGGCCGTGGGTGGAGGGGAGAGCAGGGAGACACAGACACGGTGAGGGGAAAGACTGGGCTGTCCTGGGGCCCCCCCTCCACCTCCCTTCCTAAAGTTCTCGGAGGCTGACCTCACCCCTGGCTCAGAAGAGGGACGCTGGGGACAGCAGACACAGCTTCTGGACTGCACTGTCAGGATTCAGTTCCTCGCTGCCCCACACGTGACCTCAGGCTTATTCACCCTATCAGTGCCTCACCTTCCCCATCTGCAAAATGGACATAATAGCAGTGCTACCCCATAGGGTTGCTGGAAGGTTTAAATGGTTCAATGGATATTATTACCGTTATGTCCTGATGCTCCCAACAATGTCAGGCACAGAGTATCTTCTCTGAATAAGGCTTGTTATTATGACTCCTTTTCTGTGAAGTAGTTAAGAGCAAGGAGTCTGGAGCAGCCTCGTTGGGTTCAGCTCCCGGCCTGGCCACTCGTTACCTGTGAACCCTTAGACATGGATCTTAATCTCTGTGCCT